ATCAATTATCATTAGGCGAAAAATAAAGACAGTGTACGAAAAAGTATGGGTATTTAGCCTTTATCGCAATTTACCGTCGTTACGACATAATATGTATAATTTATATATCATTACCATCTTTGCCACATGAAAATTTAATTGATTTGCATTATGTATATTATGATGACCCCGAAGATCGTTCGTTAAAATATTATACTCATGATACTAGCGTTGGCATGCGTTCCTTTAACTGAAGTATCTCGCATTTTCTCTCTTGAAAAATGATGCGCCTGAAGCTCTATCACCAGTTATTGAATATTTTGAAAACAATTATGTTCTTGTATTAATAGCTCGAGGAAGAAGACGAGATATTCTTTCACGTTATCCATCAGAACCAAGCAGCTTTGACTGATTCGCATAAGACTAACAACGTAAGAGAGGGATGGTTAAATCGCTTCCAGCTCGTCATTGGAAAACATCATCCTGACCTTTATTCTACTCTCGGCGAGTTCCAAAAAGAACAAGCTGATGTAGAGATAATGATCTCAGAGCTGAGTCTAGGGTGAAAAGTGAGAACTCAGCCAAAAAGAAAATGGCGAGACTTTCAGATGCGAATTATGGCCATTACTGCTGATTTTGATTATTTATACCAAGAATTAGAATTTCTGAAGGCAATCGCGCATAATATTGTTTTGTGAAATTATTTTGTATTTTTTTATTTTTATTATTGGTCAATTTATATATATCACTAAAGTATTACTTTAATTAATTTTTATATTTTATACGTATTATAATTTATCGATTTTAAAATATTCAATTATTACATTACCGAAATTATTATTAATTATTAATTTTTATATGTATTTTAATTTTTCGGATAAAATACCATTCGGGAAAAAGGTGTTCGAAAAAAAAGATTTCGGGTTTTCGGACTTTTGGGAAAAAATTCATTCAGGAATTTCGATTCGGGCAAAATATCGGTAACTGTTTTTGATATTGCCATATTAAACATTTTTCTATTAGGTAGTTTAAAATATAATACAGTTTAATAAAATTATACTTAATAGAAGAAGTATATTTTTTCTATTTATTTTGAATATAGTATTAAGATAAATAAAGAAAATCGGTTGAAGACCTGCAAAATTGTTTACCCCTAAATATTTGCCTTGTTTGTAATTTATATTTGAGACTACTGATTTAAACTTCTTGAATTTTCTAATCAACCAAGTATTTTTGATTTTATAAGTGTTAACTAAATGCCTTTTATATATAATAGCCATTTTCTGACACTGCTATTTTAATTTATAAGTTACGATCCGTCCAAGATCCCAATATGTTTAAAAATTGTGGAATTGTATATACGTTAATTAAATATGAACAGAATAGTATCTATATTCCCGATTATCTAGAATAATTTAAAAATCTATTGTTTACACTGAAATATTCTGAATTCTTAGATACTTCTTGACAAAATTGGTCATATTAATATACATTCTTTTTCATAAATTACTAGTTGTTGTTAAATTTTACAATTATACAGAATAATATTAGACTGAATGATAAAATATAGTTGAATATAAAAAATTATTTTATTATCTGTAACTAATAACTACCATATGTAAAAACAAAAAATACTCATTTTTTATAAGCCAAAATAAAATTAATTTGTAAGCTATCGTAGAATGACCTAATTTGGATTGTAAAACAATAAACCCTCCATGAGTCTCAAGTGCAAAGAAACAAAGATTTATTTATTTTTATACACGAGGATTTATTGTTACATCATTGTGTAAACATCAGCTGTACATTTGATTTGAGTGATTGTATAGATTATCATTTATCACCTAAATAAAAATATTAGTTATTAAATATTAATACAAGAAAATAAACGTATTAATGTTTTATTTTTTGTATTTATTATCACTAATTAATTTAATAAAAAAAAAAAAATTTGTAAAACAATGAATATTTATTGTATGCCTAACTGTTCACATAATTAGTAACATAAAACTTTAGACAAGAAAATATGTCACACATAAGTAATACATTTGTAAAGAACACTAGTGTTTATCAAGTATTTTTATTAATTCAAGAAATTAAATATTGCCAGGGAATCGATTTTCTTCGATTTGAGTGTTCCATTTATCAATCCATGCATTTGGGCATATGGACTTGGAAACACGTTTGTAATACTGGCATGCATCAAATTCTTCACCTCTTATTTTTTTGCAACGTTGATAATCTAAAAAGCTTTGATAACAGTACCTAGAACATAAAAAAAAAATATTAATACATACTAACATAGTATGTTTTTCTGTGCATAAGGCAAGTATTTTCAAATTATAACTATTCATGATTTTGAATTTTGAGCACTTGATTTTATTTTATGATTATTGTTATTTTATGCCTTAATCATTATTTTTATCCAGTATTCAAATTAAAAATGTGCTATTTTCATTATTTAAAATCCATTTCTCAATAGAACTTTGGATTAAAACAGTGCGTTTCAATGGGGTTTTTAACACATACTTCTAGATATTTTATCTAGTGTTGTCATAGGTGATTAATTGGGGGGGGGATTAGTATGTAAGCCCCTTCCCTGAGAATTCATTCTTGATCATGTATCTCAATACATTAATACATTAAATAATTTCATAAGTTTTAAACATTTATAAATGTATCAAAAAAAATGTGATTTGAAATTTTAATCTATTTTAAATTATTACCATTTGCTAGAATAAAAATCAGCCTAAAGCAAAATTATTTTTTTTATCATTACTTAGTTTAAAATAGTTTTCGTTTTAGAAATATTTTATAAGTTATTAAGACGTAAGTACTTATGTTACACATTATGTATATTATAAATGATATAATGCAGTTATAAAATTTCATGGAAGGAATTTGCACTTTGGTCTTCATTTAAGTGTCCGTGTAGGTTATATAATATATTAAAATTGTATAATAAAATATTTTAAATGTATAAATTATATTAACATTTGGTATAATATAAATGACTGATACATAAATTAACCCAGGACTTAATTTGAAATATTTTTAAAAAAGATATTGACCATGATTTGTCTACCGATAACTGACAACTATAATGTTATCAACAAGTTATAGAATAGAATGAAACAAATATTATACCTATTAAAAAATACACTTTAATATAACATTTTAAAAATTTTTATATGTAAAGAAAATAATAATATACATAATAACATAATGTACAGATTGAAAAAAAAGTTTCAAATATTGCAGTTTTTTAAATTATAACAAAATAATTAAGACTGAAATTTGTGATCTTAATTTTAAATATTTCATTTCATAAAATATGAACTTAAATGCTTAAAAGTTATAAATATAACCATACTCGTGTATTTTTGAGGTTATAAAATTACCCTAGTAATTGTTCAAAAAAGTTACTATACTGTGTGACTATACTCAATGACAAGTTACAATTGAAACCTATTACTTATACAGCAGATTAAGTTTTCCAGTTCATAGTAACAAAAGATGAAATGAGAGAATATATATTTTAAATATTAAAGATGATGGAAAGCATGAGTCATTTATTAAAAGTAGAAACCGGTAGTGATGAATTTTGAAAATTAAGCACGATAAAAACTTAATTGAAAGTAACTTGTTACAAGAATGTTTAGAAAACCTTTTGACCATATTTATAGAACAGAGACTAGCATACAAAGTATACTTTGAAAAAGTTCTTTTGAAATTTATATTATTATTTTAAAAAATTTAAAAAGTAATAAAGAAATATAACAGTTTTAGTTCAAAAGAAAACATTATTTTAATATTACTGATTCAAAAATTTGGACAAAAAAAGTATCAATATTTTACTTAAAATATTTCCTGGCCCTTTCTGCCAAGAGGGTTTAGTATCGTCTATGATTGCTGAAAACTATTTATTATAACAAATGATGAATCGTAAAGGATAAGCTTTAACTTTATGTTATAAATAATAAATGTTAAAATTATTTATTTATTTACATTTAGGATGTCATATTAAAACTATAAAAAGGTAAAAAAGATATGCTTAATCTAAAATATGTCTATATTAGTCTTGTTAATTTGACAGTGAAAATAATACTAACAAAAAAAAAAAACTTAAATAATATCAAATTTCTAAATTATAGAATATTATTTAAAATATTACTTGGTTTGATTGGTATTTGGGAAACGAGGATCCCATGGTGCAGTTTCAAGTTTGATTCCATCTACTTCAAGAACCATTTTGGTTTGAATATGCTAAAAAAATAAAAATTAAGAAATATTTATTTTGAAGAGATAAATATTTAATAAGTTATATTTTTCTGGTTGGAATAATATAATTTGAATTTAATAAAAAAAATAAAAGAATTAAACAAATTAATGTAAGTAAATAATGCTAAAAATGAATTATAAATTAATTTTAAAAAATCAGATCTATAAAATGATGTTAATATGGTTTTAAAATTATAATTTACCTTAAATTTGTTTTTTATTAATATTTTAAGTATAATTTTATGATTTAAAATGAGTTGTGTACACTTAAATGTTAAGTTTGTTATTTAAATTATTAGTACTCCATTATTTTCAATTTTCCCATTAAGTAAATATTAATTAATAATTTTAGCTACCTAGGTACATAAATTTAAGGATACAGTGAAACCTTGTTCACATTTAACCCTTAAAAGCTCATCATTTTTGCTGCTAAAGTTTTGTTATATTTTATAACACTAAAAGTATATCATGACAAAAATTAGGAGTATTCGCTATTTATTTTATAACTGGTAATAAATCCAATAGTATTGAATTTTTACACAAAAACTAGAGTGTATTATATTAATTCAAAATTAATATAAACTTAAAATATAATACCAGCATAGTTTATTACATATCTAAAATATAAATTATTAATTATGTATATACTTAAATATAAAATAAAACTATAAATAGTAAAAATATCAAATGCATATACATTTAATAACTTAAAAATAAAAATTCTAGTTTAATTATTATGTTGTACAATTATATAATTTTATAACTTATTAAAAAAAGTAACAATCAAAGCAATTCTGTTAAAAACTGTTTAACAACTTTGGTAAGTAATTATTTCTGATTAAACATAGACATATCATTAATTTGTATTTTATTGCAAAAGTATGGTATTTATTTACAAATATATTATATACAGCAGGATTTTATTACTAGTTATTTTACAAGAGGTCTAGTTTTATTATCCTGTTCTCCCACTGTTTCTTGGTAACGTTTAACTTCATCTAAATACAATGACCAAGCGTCCGTAGGTTTAGATAATTTTTTTTCATCGTCCGGTTTAATCTTTTTAACCACACCTGTTTTTAACGCTTTATTTTTACGTTTGCCAATTATTGGCATTGTTTTAAGAGTTTCAGATCGTTTTTCAGAGGCAACTGCCGAAGTAGTAGAAGTAGTAGTAGTAGTAGTAGAACAATTAGAAGCAGCAGAAGGAGTAGATGAAGTTTGAGATACTTGTAGATCAAGTATTGGTAGTTCTGCTAATTTGGCTTTTTGCTGCTGTTGTTGTTGTTGTTGTTGTAAACGTTGATATATTTCTAGGAATGAGCCATCATTTTTAAATGCATTTTGGGCTTGTTGATTGTTATAGCTTGCCATGATTGTGAACACACTTTGTAATCAGCTTTTTCACTCAACACCTATAATCAAGAAACTCTCGCACATCACATTACGGTTCCAAAATCTTAAATTTTACTACAGCCAAAGGGAAGCCAAAATCCCCAGTTTTAAAAAATGTTAACATCTCCAGCTTATGGTTAACAAATAAATATAAACACATGGTAACAATTTCATATTTACATAGGTACTTAAAAATTACATGAAATATTAGAATAGAACACCACTAGGTGTGTTTACTGTAATAGTTAATATTTGTTCTTATCAATGGTTGATATGACATAATAATAATGGACAAATTTCAAAACCACAGATACAACATAAATATTATTATACATCTCATATACATTAAATTGTACCTATAATAAGTCAAATTTATCTCAAACTGTGATGACCTTTGAAGGTCTTCTAGATTTACAACCTCGAGACATATTGGTTAAGCTATAGAATTTAGTTGGTTATAATAATCATTATGTAAAACTTGAATACTGTAATTTGTATAGAATTATTTAAGTGGTGGGTTTATAAAATATAACGTATAAAGATTAGGAAAAAATTGCGTTTTTAGATGTAGGTATAGCGTACATCCTACACAAACCAAACGCACATAAAATAATACATTTATACTTATATACGCTATAACCTTATTAAGATATAATATATAATTAATTACCTGAAGAATAGTATTGATAATTTTATTGAGTATTTGTAGACAAACTCAACTATTTTCGAGTCGGACAGTATGAAAAGTTCACAAATTACGATCACAGAATGAAGCAGTGAAAAAAAAAATGATAGTGTAAAAAAAAAAAGAAAAAATCAATCTGCTGAGTTCAAGAACAAAATGGTTAACTGGAAGTGAAAATGTAAACAGTGCTGCCAAAATAACGATTCTCAAATTATCGTGAAACAACAAAATAATATAATTTTGAATTTTCGAATCAATAATTGAAAGTTAAAAATGAAAACAATTTAGAATATTGTATTAAAAACTTTAATGCACTATTGTAAAAATACCAAATGTTTATTAACTGATATCATAGGGCTGAGATTTTAATGCTCTAAAAAATCTTAAAAAATTCATTTAAATTATATTTTTTATTATAGCTTAAAAATTGAAAAAAAAATTTAAAATTATACTATTCAGTAGTCATTTTTTTTTTAATAGTATTGTTAGTTGTTACTTGTTTAGTTCTGTAATACTTTTGTTGACTGTTTTCTTAATCATTCATTCTAAAATAATAATTAAAAAAAAAGAAATTGTTATCAACGATAACGTCATTAACGTAATATTTATTTATTTATTTATTTATTATAATCAACGCCAGACGGCTTTTACAAAATAACAGACAGGAAGTACATAGATAACAGTATACAAATCATATACAATATATATAAGATGCGTAAATTATACCAACTTAATATAAGAGAGAAGAAAAAGAATTAGTTAGTATGTAAAACAAAAAAATAACGTGGTGTAAGTTATGTGAAAAAAAAAAAAAATGTGAGCCTTCGTACATATCTCGTATTTCGTACGTATATCGTGTTATAGTATTATTTGTTCCGTTGGTAGTTTGCTGAAAGTTTTTTATTGTTAATCGTAAAAATTTTTGTTCATTTTAAGAGTAAATTGTGAAAAATGCTCTGAAATCTAAGAAAATGCACTAAAATCGTCAAAAATTGCAAAAAAATGTTACTTTAAAATAACTAGGATCGCCCAAAACATATTTTATACTTACGGGTCAACGTTATAAAACACCAGAGAAAAAGTTGTCTTTGTATTAAAATTCCAGCCCTTCTAAAAACTATTAAATTATTCTGATAATCATAAAATTCCCTAGAAATTTAAATATTCCCAGGACCCCAGCTTCCAAAATGGTAAAATTTATAAACCTTTTTTTTTTAAACTCAGATACTAATATTTCATTATTTAATCTATTATAAATGTTATGATTTGTATATTTTGAATGAGTTTATAAAGCTTTTGAATTGATACTGTGAATAAGTGATACAATATACTTATATACAACTTTGAGCAATGGCCAATAAGCATGCAACTTAATGAAAAAAAAAAAAAACAAGGATGTCATTCCACGTCTACATTTTGATGTTTTGATGTAGTATCGAAAAGATGTCTTGATTTCGATTGCAGACATAACTGAAATATTAGTTATACAGTTAAAAATGATCTTCAGTAAGTCAACGTGTGATATAATTAAATTGCTTATAATATGAATTTTTGTAGTATAATCGTATGTGCTATTAGACGCAGGAACGTTAAAGAACTTTGATGAACCGATGAGAGATAACAAATAATGTTCTTAGATACTTAGTATCCACTTAATCATGTGACTTTTTTGATGTACTTTGAATTTTTATTTTAGACTTCTGGATATAATAATAAGGCAAAATAACAAATAATTGAACGTAAATTTATATGCCAATATTATTATTAGTATTGATATAAAGTCATAACTTTGTTAGTAAATTAATATTAATTATTATCAAAGTTTTGATCTAAACTATAATTAAGCATAGTATATTGTGTGTAAATGTAAATTAACTACCTAATAGTTTTTCAAAACCCATTACGTATCTACTTGCCTATTATAACATTTTTAGCTACAAGATAATTGTCACACAATAACCCTATCTTTCGGAAACTTTAGTTATTATACCTAATAGTTTAGGTTCAGAAAAAAATTATAAAAAAATTGTTATTGTTCATTTAATTTTTATATATTCACACAGAGTAAAAAAAATCAAGTACAATATTGAATAAATATAGATGAAATTAAATTTATAAACAAAATCAATACAAAAATAATAAGAGCATATATATTTTTTGGACAAAGTACCTAATATAGTTTAATAGTTAAATTTGTATTATATAAAATAAGTAAATCACACTGCAATACACTGTTAAAAATTGAAATGATTGATCAAACGTCTTACAACAATATGGATTTTGCAAAGATTATTTTACAATATAGATTATAAATATAAGTATATAACAATATTTTTTTGGTCAAATTTTTAATATTTAATAATTTAAGTAAAAAGAATTAAAGTACAAAAATAACATAGCTGGTTATCATTTTTCTTTTACAACATGTTCTTTGACAGGCTGTAGATTGGTTGTCTCCATGGATAACGATCTAAAAAAGAAATGTATAAGTCATAAGTATATTTGTACTCATTTATGAGTATGAGTAATGGGAAGTGCATTTTGAAGTCATAAATTATGTAACATAATATAATATACGTAGTGGCGTATTTAAGGGGGGTGTTCTGGGGGTTAAACTTTCTTGTTTTATTCATTATTGAAGTATTACAAAATATTGTTGATGAATGATGAAATATTTTAAAAATGCTTTGAGAATTGAATAATGTATATTTTTTTTAGAAAAGACGAAATAGATTAGTCATGTTTTCAAATTAATCGAAAAATTGCATAAAAGTAATTATTGGATGAATTGACAGTAAAAAAAGATATTTATCTTCAATATTGTGAAATTAAGTGTTTCTAAATTTATTTATAATAATTTATGAATGTACAAAATTAATTAACTTGATATGAGAAATTACTCAGTAAATTTAAGTAGAAATCCTAAGATTTTTTTACAAAATTACCAATTATAAGGTGCATTATCAAGTATGACTTCATGATGGTACTATGATAATATTTGTGGAGAAAAAGTATTCCTAGTCAAGGCAAACCCTCTTCCTCCTAAAAAAGAAACCCCAAAACACGCACTGAATAGGTGTAGGTATACAGGATAATAACTAATAAGAATATTTACTTGTGTGTAAATGAATAATTAAAATTTCAAAATAAATTGTACTCTAAAACAGTAGCAACAGTTGTGTAGTTATTGTGGGGTTATTATTTTTTTTTTAATGTTTAATATATTATTTACACTTATATTCGATGTAAGATTATTTGATTGTAAAATTACCCATATTTACATTATATTATTTGATATTTCCAAGAAAATAATTTAATTGTTTTAGTAAAATAATAATCGAATTTATACCTTGACCTAAACCAAGAGCACGCTCCGGGTGCCGAGTGTGAACGGTTAGATGATTGAAGTTTTCGTTTCGACTCGTCTGCTGCAAACGGATTCTGAAAACGATACAAAAACAATATAACATAATAATAGACTTAATAGAGGAATAGCGTCCTACCATCATTAGTAGATAATATGACACATATTAAAATATATTATACAAGTACATTATCTAGGAATTTACAATATACTTATAGTATACTCTACATACATATATATGTAGATAAGTAAATATTTATTAGTAACGAAACCAATTTATGCAAAACTTGATGTTTTTTGGAGTAGGGGCAAAAGTTTAAACAAACAACTGTGAAGTATATTAATACTCAAACAGAATTTTTTTATTATAGAAATTAGAAGTGTAACCATATAAGTCATAAAGTATCATAGACATATTTTAAATTCTTTTTAAATATTTAAAATCTAGCTTTTAACAGCTTAAGTTTATGTTTATATGTTTATAACAAGATTTTAATAATTTTTTTGATTGTAGTAATACATACAATGTAAGTTGGTATATTAGGTAAGAATTGTAATAAATAATCTTAAAATAAATTAATTTTAGAACGATTAATTTTTGACGAATTAAAAAAAAATATTGTATCTTTACAGTAGGTAATAATATTTAAAAGTTTTAAAGGAGTACTGATTTTACGATGATGGGTTTTATTATTTTTTTTTTAGATTTTCAAAATAAAATGTGATTTAGTTCGTTTAGAATATCAAATTGGGGATCAATAGTTTGTAGTATAGAGATATTCAATAAATGTTGACAAAATATTCGATGGGTAAAACGAAAATTAAATACAATATTCCTTACAAGTAAAGTTGTTCATTTACAAATTACAGAATATCGAAAATTTATAGTCACAATATTTGTATGAACATTTAAATGTTGTATTTTCAATTTCTTTTTATAGTTAGAAATTTATAAACAATTATTTTACTCAATATCTAAGATTTGAAAATGTATTACAAGATTTTTATAAGTTTTAGAACTTAGAAGAAAAAAAAAAAATAAGAAAAAAAATTTTACCCGATAATTTAATTAGGTAATTTTTATGAGCGTTTGAAGTTAAAATTTATATTATGTTACATATATGCCTTAAAACAATTATTTCTTCTCAAAGATTTTTGTTCTTTGCTGTATTTCAAAAAAAAAAAAAAAAAATAAATATATAAATAAATAATACCTAGTACTAAGTAGAGATTTGTAATTTTCACCAAATTATTATTATATTATAATTTTTTATACTCATCTATATAATAATTATAATATGACGTATAATATAGTAATATTAATATTATATAATTTTCAAAATTGTTGATTCTTTTTAAGTCATTTATAGACATTTTGAAATTTATTTTATTTCTATAAACATCAATAAAAATTACTTTTATTCAATCAAAAAGCTTGAAATTCAATAAATGATCTTACATAAGAATAGATAGGTATTTAAAAATATTTAAAATACATAGGCACAATTTATTTTTATACACATTTGTAGTTCAAATTTAGATGAAATAATATATTTAAACTACGATTAACAATACCTATCATTATTTTGTTAAAATTCAAAAAAATTATTTCTTGGGACTTAAACATTTTATGCTTATTATTATATTTTATACACACAACATTTTTAAATGCATTGTTTTTGGAAAAAAATGAATTCAACCTACTATATAACTTAACGTAAGGTACATTATTTTATCTAATAGAAATATCTGAGAATATAACATGACATAAATATACTTAAAAGTTAATGATATAGCTGGATTGTACTGATTGTAGGTTGTCTCCGCTCAGAGCAAAATTTTGTATACAAAATTATTTATCATTGAATTCAAATTTAACGATATCCATTAGAGACCACAGTGGTCAGTGGACAGTGACCCACTTGATACATACTGTACAGCAAAGCTGAAGGCGGTACCCACTTGGCACTTACCTACATTTTGATCATTTTGTTTTACTTATATGAATGTAATATTGTATAGGTATAATTATTATTAATTAATAGTGCCAATAGCGGTAACAAATACTTTTACATGTTATTTCCAACGATGACATTTTTGACCCATTTCCTGTACATTGTTTGAAATTTGTTTCTTACCATTTTAATTTTAACTTTGACCTAACCTTTTAAAAAGAATCTGACGATTTTATGGAGGAAAAATGTAACTAAAAGTTCAGAAAAATATGCTTATTGTTTGAACAAATGGACATTTATTTGACCTACTGAATCTCTGCCTTTGTATGTAACTATAAAGCTGTCATCATCGTTTTAGTATCATTACACATACCTACAACCAGTAGTATTTATGTTATACATTTATACATAAACATAATATAACGCATATTATGCGAACTTACAAGGAACGAATGATTCTTTAGCATTGCCTTAATTAATATCAAGGTGTTAAGTTTGGGTATGGATTTGACGACGTTCATCATTTCTTCCTCGCTAACTTCGACCGGCTCCCGACAGTAGTTATCCTGCTCGGTGGGCAGCATCTCGGTCCCCGCCTTGGTCACCCAGTCGTGCTGTTTGACGGCTGGTAACGTAATCCTAGTGTCTGGGTCCTTGTCCAGGAGGCGGTGCAACAGGTGCACTAACTGTGGAGATGTTTCAGGTTCGACTGGCCACTGTACAGGTTGCGTGCGGATTTGCTCGTGTACCGCTAGCACCGTGTCAGCGGTGTACGGCAATCGACCATAGACGAAAGCATACAATGTGCAACCCAGTGCCCACACGTCAAGCGCTCGACCGCTGTATGTTTTCGTAGACGGGTCCAGCACTTCAGGAGCCGTAAACGCCGGCGTGCCAGCACTTGAACTCAACAGGTCGTCACTTCCGTCAAACTCGTTGCATACGCCTAAGTCAGCGATTTTTACGTGCCCGCTTGCGTCAATCAATAAGTTTGAAGGTTTTATGTCCCTGTGTACGATCCGCTGAAAGTGTACTATGCATACAAGAAAAAAAAAACAAAAGCTGAGTATAAAATGTGATGTATTATTTATTAAACCTAATATTATAACAACAAGTGATTTAACAGTAAATATGACTATTATTTTAAAAATTTCCTACATAATATTTTTAGGCGACCGTTTAGAGAATTTCAAGATTTTTGTTTCAGAAACTTGAAATTTTAACGTTCTTTAAATATTCTAATACATAAATATTGAATTAATATAAATTATATCCACTCGTTTATATCCAAATTATTAAATTTATTGGTTATTATTGTTAAGACACATTCTTAAAAATAATAAATTATCATTAAATTACGTATTACTTACAATATTCTAATCCCAATAAAATATCCCTAAAGTATGACCTGGCTTTTGATTCAGACATTGGAGGATCACCAGGAACTTGCATCACTTCTCCACGCTCCAATAATTCAAAAACTGCAACATAAAAAAAAATTTAGTTGATTACATTCGATAAATGATATTGAAACATTTACCCAAATAAAGATGATCTTCATCTGGATCCTCTAAAACTTCTACTAGTTTTACTACATTAGGATGATCAAGTTTTTTTAACAAAGCTATTTCCCTGTATATTTTGTCTAATGGATTGGCCCCTTTACGTCTGGCGTTAAGTCTCCCTATAATTAAATAGTAATGATGAAATTGTAATTAGTGTAATCATATACAATAAATAATACATGTTATTTTATATATATTTATAATGATTTATATTAGCTACAGGTAGGAATATGTTTTTTCTGAGGATTTTACGGTAGTATAAAATTTATAATTCTATATAATTATTACACTGTATAATTGCATATTAAAACCACATAATAATTATGTTCTAAATATAAGATGTTTTAGATTACGAAAATATTCACATAAAGAAATATAAGTAAACAAATTATGTCGAATGACGTTTACAGTAAAAGTAATCAATCTACAAGTAAATTATAAATATGAATAGTTAAATTTAATTATAAATTGTTGTAGCATAGTAAATCATAGTCATAATAACTTTATTCCTCAGAGAGACATATTAATATTATAAATAGTTCAACATTACCTACATGTTTATTTAAAAAAGAGAAATAGGTTTTGAAACGTATTTGTGCTGTTTTTTATTTTAAATATATTTTTTTGTATTATTCGTAAGAATAAATTTATTCTTTTAGAAAATGATTTAAATTTAAATTTTCCTTTATCATTGGACTTCAATTAAAAGTATAAACGTTCTTCTGTGTATACGAACATTTTCATTAGAACAAAATTATCGATTTTAGTCTGGAACATACGTATATATTTATATGTATTATATATAGTTAGAGTATATTTACTGAACTTTACGGGGATACTTGAATATATATTATTACGCTTCACTTAATAATAAACAAAACTATACACAAAATGTTTATCAAAACAAGACATAGTAGTTATAATTAACATATAATACTTAAACTGCAAATGTCTAAGTTGTTAGTTTACACATTATTCGTATAAACAGTAGATACATTATTATGTATTTTACTTAGAAAGAAAAATAACAACAATGAGAATATTAAAATTAGCAAACATTTAGTATATTGTGAATTTGCGTGTATGATGTAGAGTAATAAATACAAAAGTTGAGGCATTTAAATTATTTAGGAATTATGTTTACATAGGTAATGTAAATATTATACAAATTCATTTTAAATTATGTGGTATTTGTTTGTTTTATTACTTTTATTTGGTATAATATGCTTTTTTATGGTTATAATAATAAATTATAATAAAACGAGAGATAAGAAATAATAAACATAAAATTAAATATCATTATAATATGTTCCGATGTATTAATAATTTTATAGTTTAAGACAGTTTGAATATAATAATATTACAGACTCAATCTATTATTTCTGTATATAACATAATACCACATATTTGTTTTTCATTAATTATACCATACATTTAGATATAGTTTGTAGTATTTTTACTGTAGCAGGATACAAGTTATAATTATTATAAGAATAGACTATGTGTATTGATGGTTTTATTTTTATATCTTTTGGTAACAACAGCTCCCTCACAAGTTACAATATGTTAAAATCATTGTAAATGTGTGTTCATTACCAAATGTTTATTTTTCCATTATATTTTATGAATTTAAATTAAATTCTTAGATAAAATTATCAACAACACTGAATAATCAATCGTATAACCTATATATTATATATGAAAAGAATAAGGTCAAGGTATATATTATATAGATGTAATTTAATGATTTTATAATAACACGTTGTCATGTTGATAAAATAATTGATCAATGTGTCTGGTACTTTCGGGGTATAATGACTACCATTATTTTTACAAATTATTGAGTTATTTGAGTTACATATCATGTGAATTATAAAAAAATTATAAAAATGCGGTCATTCGTTGGATTGTTTAACAGATATACTTTTATTATTCCTACAAGAATAAGAATTTAAATATTCAATTAATATTTTTAATATGATTGATAGGTAATATTAGGTATTATCGTATTTTAAATACAATACTAATAGGAAATTTAATAGTTTATTTTAATTTTAAGATAAAATTTAAAACAAATATAGGTATTTTATTATTCATCATAGTATGTAAAATATATAGGTACTAACTATTTACAAATTAAGTTTGATTAAAATGAATTGAAATTGTAGGCTCGAAAATAATAGATTGTTGTTTCGAAAAACTTTTTGAATTTTAAAATTTCTTCACAAAATGATATATTTAGTATATATGTATAAATATGATTAAATGTATAGTCATACAGCCCATATTATAGCCAATATAATATAGGCTTATATGCTATATTTATAGTTGTAGCTACGTATTATTTTCAAAGATTCCCTAAATATGATTCTGATATTTATAAAATAAATGTTAATATGTGAAAAAATTCATAAAAAAAACAAAAATGGAATAAAGTGAATTTTTAACTTGTTAAATTGTATAATAATTATGATAACATCTATGTGCTTGAAATTGTTTAAAGGAAAAGTTCAATATCCTATCAAATCTATTCAATTTTTTTCAGTTAATAATGGAATAAATGCTATAAATAAATTAGATATTAAAAAGCTGTGATATCTATTGAACTTATATAATCGTATCATTGAATTGTGAACATTAGTTAAATGTATTCAAAATTATTCAAAATAAATAATAGAGCAAATGCAATGAATATATAAAAAAAATTTTAATTATTGATATAGTTTATATTTAATTATATTTTTGTTTTATATAAGTGCCTATGGGAAACGTATACAAAATATTAATTAATTTCTTTGATTTGTTTTTGATTCTGGGACAAATATTAATTTTCCATTAATGTATTTAATTTAATTTTTGTCCAACGCCACATTTTGGAGTTAAAAATTTGCTTCGATCATTAAATTGACAGTGGTTACTAGAAGTTATAGGGTCTATAATTATACAATTTCTAGAACTTTTTTTTAATGATTAGAAAAACTAACAAAAAACAAAATGGTAAACCGGAATATTTATGCAACGCCAATTTTCATTAAACATTCATATTATCATTTTCTATAGGGAAAAAAATAATTGAAATTTGTATATTTGAAATTTTTGATGTATTTAAGTTTAGTTTCATTTTATGTTTCTATAATTTAAATTACTATAAGAATAACTTATAACTTATAAGGAACCTATGACTTCTATAAGTTATATTCACTTTATCAAAAATTATTATACAGAAAATATTTAAAATTCCCGTTTTACTATTGTTTTTCGTTATTTTTTTAAATTATAAGTAGTACTGAAAATTCCCTACTCTTGTCCTAAATTTCCTACTAGAAACAAAATTAAACATGCATACATAAACCACTATAAATGTTGATGATTGAAGTAAATTTCCTACATAAAAACGTAACATTAGACACAAAATAAAAATTACACACGTCATGTAAAACCAATTTAAATTTCTTTGATCTTGTCAGAAATCAGATATAATTGTCTGTTAAATTGATCATAACTTGCACAAAAATAATGAAAAATAATGAAAATCTTTGAAAGTACTAATTTAGTACTAAATGATAACGATTAATTAATATGTAAATGTACGATTATATATTTTTATATTAATTAAAATTTAGTGATCATAATGTTTTTATCGAAATAATCTTAATGCACTTATATATTTGTATCAAATCAAATTTAATATAAAATTTTAGTATGTTATTTTTAAAGATGCATTGCAATTTATTTTTGTGTTTACATATTGTTACATGATGATCAATTTATAATACTAAACAATTTTAAATAAAAAAATTAATAATTTAACTGTTTATGTAATGGGGTAACGTTTTCATAGTACCCGGAACTTATAATGTGGTTTTCCAGGGTTCTTTTGTGGTCATAAATTGTTGCATAATATATAACGAAATACCAAACAATTTTCACGATAATAAATTTTCCTTGTGGTACCATGATAACATACCTTATTTTTAAAATATCTTGTAAAAAATTAACATTCAAGCCTTTTATACCTATTTTAAAATAAGTCTTAAAATAAAATTACACATAGTTATACTAAAACTAATGTAAGTAAAATGTTAAATAATTACGATAACCTATACAAATATAAAATCTATGTAGTTCTATAATTATATTAAAATACATTATTTAGAATATAATCATTATATACAAATCGTAAAATATCCTTAAAAAGATAATAACCATAATTTAGGTTATATTTATATGATATAATTTACCTTTAGAATAAATATATAAAAACAATTAATTAAAATATATCTTGGTTAATTTATTAGAATTTATATATTTTGTATTTAATGAAAAGAAACTTACCAAAACAGCCTGACTTTTTCATTAATTTTTTCTTAGATAATATTTTCATAGCCTAAAAATAATTTGAAATAAATATGTACTTCGCAGTAAAATATGTCATAATATATTATGTATATTCATCAACTTAAAAACTGAAATCAGTACTAAATAATATTAAATAATAAAAAGCAAATATTAAATTATTATTATAATAGTTCTCTAATATAATATATGAATAAATATTTTTTTTCATTTAAGAGACAAAATTGGATGAGCGTGAATATATAGTTTATAAAATTGAAAACTTGTAAATTAGCTTTTCAAACCAAGTATTAGTTTATTATTTTAACATTTAAATTATTTAATTGTGTAAATTGCATTACCGATGAATTAAATTTTTTACAAACTAAATTTATAAGGGTAAATCTATTTTAATATGCTAGCAAAAATCTACAATAAGAATATTACAATCATTTTTATACAAGCTTATTTATTACTGACAAAAGACTTCTTGTAACTATCTTTAAAAGTATATCAAAAACATTTTCAAGTTGTAAATATTTAAAAAAAATTTAAAGCTGCCTGCCTATAAAGAATGCCTAAAATTATATTATACTTATAAGTGTTGTGTACCAACTTATTCGTATAACTTAACATTTTATAGAAATTTAATTAAAAAATAAAAAATAATTAATAACAGTAATACTTAAATTCTTAGTTGAGCTTTTTTAAAGTTTAAAATTTAAGTATGAGTTAGAAAATAGCAAATAATTACTATAAAGCTAAGTTTTAAACATGAATTTAAAAAAGTAATTTTATGAATTGACTACGTATCATTTATCAATACTATCAATGCAGTAATAATAATTGTATTTGTCAATTTTAATAAAATAATTTATAAATATCAAATAATCGTTCCATCTAAATTGATTGATTGTGATATTATTAAGTATAGTTAATGAACAAATCACAAAAACAATTTATTGTGGAGAGTTCCGTTTAATTAACCAAGTCTTGATTGTTTACGTTCAAATTAATTCCATCTGGATGCTTTTGAAACCGATTAGAGTAAATTATAATGTCATCCAATAAATAATGTTACGAGTCATGGACAAGTCAATGTATCCCTAAATCCTAAACCCACCTAATTTAAATTAAGATTAAAAACTTAATACCTGATTCTCTTGTCATTTTCATCACATACATATTTAATAACCTAATATTTAAAAATTTTCCAAAAAGCAAAAATTATAATATTATTTAAATACTTACGTAATGTTTGTCATCTAGCTCATTATACGCCAATTTTACAAGTCCATAAGATCCCTAAATAGATAAAATGATGAATATAGTTAATATATATATATATATATAATTAATATTTCCTAGTTTACGAAGTAATATGAGATAAAATAGTAATAAAATCTTAAATGTAATTATTAAATATTTGAAAAAAAATATTTTTTAGTCAAATTTTAAATGCACCAAGCAAAATAATAGTAATGAATATTTTGGTTATTATTGTATATTGTCTGTAAAAATAAATTTAACTTTTAAAGGATAAAAAACGTCACGACCTTGATATTAAGGAGGCAATTTAGTAGACGTTCGAAAACAACATTTTTATTGTTTCTAGTTTAAATTGATCAAAGAAATGTTATTTTTTTTAAATGGGTTATTGTTCAGAATTTATTTTCCACGTCATTCATTTCAATAAAAATATCATTTTTTATTTATATGAGAGTGTTAACTAAGGTGATATAATTTTTTTTGCAATTTACAATTCAACTGACTATCGAATTATTAGATTTCGATATATTTAATAAATAATAAGTATTTAACAGTTATTCAATAATATACATATCATTAGATATTATTTTAATTTTCATAAAATGCGATAAAAAGTTTATAGTAACAACTAACAAGCTATAATAAAAATATCTAAAATTCAGTAAAAAGTTGACGGGGGTTAACTATAATATTGAAAACCAGTTACTCAACGTTAATTTACTAAATTCAGTAATGGTACATATCAAAAATGCATGAGTAGCGAGTACAGACATTACAATTCTTAAAAATTGTATACTATAATATATTACATATTTATATGTGTATCGAATGTGTTATACGAGAAATCATATATTATCTAAATAAACAATAATACCTAATCATTAAGTCGTGGCATCGGTGATTTGAACCGTTATAAAATCTAACGGGAAAATACTTCTTCTATAAAGGCAACATATAATGAATTATTCACAAAAAGATCAATTTCAAAATCAAAAATTTATACACGTACGTAAGGTTTATTGTTTCTAAAAAACAAAAGAGAAAACGTAGATAATTAATTTTCAAACTTATATTTTAATTTGTATTTCTTTATTAAATGTATAAACATTATGAGAGTTTTTATATTAGAAATAAAGAAATAAATTAATGATTTGCATACTTTATTCGACGGGTAAGTAAAAATAATGATTATTATTATTATAATATGGTCATATGGGATATGTTTAATTAATAATAAATTAAAAACCTTATTATAACTACTGTAATGCTTAAACAATTTGTTAATTTGTATAAATAAAGATCGACAAGATAATTAAAGACAGTTAAAATAAACAATTTTTGATAAAAATAAATTTTTTTTTTATTGAAAGAAAACACATTTTTAAAATGATTTTAAATTTTAAATTCGTTCATATTTATAATACTTTTAAACTTATACAAAAATAAATTGTTCAGTAAGTACCTATACTTTTATTTAATTGCTTACCATACTGGTGATTGTCCATGTATGAGTCAGTGATTGTAGTAGAATAAAATATAATATATTTATGGAGTTAATATTTTAAATTTAAAAACATCAGCTACTTCATTAAGTCACCCAAAATTACTGAGTCTTTCATTATTTTGAAAATATTTTTTGCTAGGGACGAACGCAATTTAGTCTCTAACTAATTTTTCTAAACCAGTTTCATATTGAGTATAAGCTAAGTTAGTGATTCAGAACAAATTACTTTAAATTGGCAGAAATAAATTTTTATTTTATTGGAATTTTAAAATATAATAATTAATAATCATGTCACAATTACCTATAATAAGTAATCCTGAAATACTTTCTATAGGTATTTGGTACTTATATATACTTAAAAATTACCTACAAAATCGTAAAAATATATATAAATAGTACGTATTCAAAAATCAAAAATAATTTAAACACCATCATTGTGGAATTCAAACAGATACTATTATGTAACCTGAAATATATTTCTATATTCCGTCATATATGATTACACAAGTGTATAGTATGTTTATTGTTTGATGTATCAATAACTAATGAATACAAATTATATAGTGTTAAGTCGTACGGTGTAAGATCAATAACTGTCGTGGGTTCATAAAATATACCTGTCCAATGGAGTCGATGAGTTTGTACTGGTTGAGCTTTTGATGAGCATTCGGATCGTCTAAGCTTTGTACGTTGACGGACACGCGACACTCACGCAACGGCGGCCGGCGTCTGGCTAACCGTGGTGAACACGCAGGCGAGTAAGGTAAGTTTGGACATATTGGTCGCGGGGAGGTCGTCACCACCGTCGTCGTCGCAGATTCAGTCTTGATGCAGGAAACCACTTGCAAATCTCGCGGACTATCAGTAGACGCAGTGGTTCCCGCAGCCGGTTGTTGCACATCGCACAGGTGGTGGTCGCTTACAGTTACCGCCGCGGTACATTGCTGCTGTTGATTGTCACCGACCACGGCGGCAGCAACCGTCGTGGTCGCTAATCTCTCTGGCGACACCGATGGATTTGCGTCCACTGACACGGTCGCATGTCTACTGCAAAACGGAAAACAAATATTAAAGGAGATAATTTTTTTTTTTTTTTTTGCTGTTTCGTTTATCATAAATGTTCAAATTGAGAAAATTGAACGATCATTTTTTAACAGTAAACACTCATTATTACAAAAATATTATTTTAAATAACTCTATGGGAAAATAAATTATGATGTATATTCTCTGTATTCTTTGTACTCAAATCAACTATTTTGATGTTTGAGTGTTATCAGTTATCACTATCATAGCCCATAGGACCACACAATGAAGTAAAAATGGTGATGTATATAGTTATGCAGCACTATTAAGATCTTTTACCAAATCTGTAAAACCCATGCTATAAATAATTTTGGTGTAGAAATTGAAATAAGTCATAATTTGATTGATTAATTCTATCGAAAGCATTTTACATAGTATTAGAATAAAAAAAAAAAACAACATTTGTTTATGATAACGTTTTCAATGGTTTAAAAATTGGGTATTAAAATATACATAAGCTAGTAACTGTTGATCGATTTTGTACAGTACAATACATTTTAAAGCTAGGTTAATTATTTAAATACAACTATACGCGTCTACACAAATAAATTATCATTTGATATGAGCTGTATATTTAGTAAATGAGAAAAAATTAACCATAAAACCTTATTGTATTATATTAGATGATTGACTATAACCTATAGAAATAGATCACATAATAAATGTTGTAAACAATAAACAATACATAATTTAAGAAGTTGTACAATTTTATATCCTACATACAGATTATAAAAGAAGAATTTAATAACTATTTATACAAAAGTAGGCAGAATTAGATGAGGAGGGTTAAAACTATAGTCTAAGTATCACTTATAGTTTTTAGAGTAAATATATTACTCTATGTAGTCTCTAAAATACAAAAAATTAAATTAAAATATCCCTAGTTTTGTATTTCTTTCTTAACTTGATTATCTGCAAGGACATTTTATTTTATTTTCATCGTCATTGCCAATGAAAAAGCAATGTCATATACAGGAACAAAAAATTATAAATATATGTCCATTTCTTTATGAGCTATTGTCATAATTTATTTAGTTTTTATTTAAAGAGACTTTTAAAGAGTACAATTAGAAAAGGAGTCAGTTTGAAATGAGCACGATTTGAGTAACACGTGAAGTGTCCTTGATATATATAAAAGGATTTTAAATCTTATTATTTTGCATGTTGTAATACCAAACAAAATTGATTGTAATTTGCAAATATTATTTTTCTAATAATAGGTTATTTTTATTTAGGTACTTATAAGTTAATCATAAATATTAAATTATCTATTCATTAAATTATATTTAATAATTATAATAATATTACCTATAATAAAACTTAATTGTTGTCGTACCCAGTGGCGTAGCCAGAATTTTGATAGGTGGGGTAGGTGGGGGTGGGGGGGTTTAAGTGAAAATTAAACTTAGTTTTTTTCTATTTCGTTATGTTTGTTGTCCAATTGAACTATTCAAGAACAAAGTTTAGTTGTAAACTTATGAATATATATAATACTATAATAATATATTATAAACATCTTAATATGAAAATAGAATTAATGAAATATACAATAATATAAATAATACATTTATTAGATGTGGAAAGATGATAGCGGGGGGAGGAGTTAAACAACCAAAATCCCTCCTGTCTACGCCACTAGTCGTAACTCTAAATAATATAAATTTGTAATTGTATATTTCCTATTATTTAAAAAAAATGTATTAAAAACTTATTTAAGAGTAATTTATAAAAATGTTTTTTTAAATTACTTAAGTTTGTTTTTTTGGCTTTTTTATTTTATTTTATTTACAATTAATTATAATAGGAATATGAATCAAAACCAAAATTAATATATAAATTGAATATTTATTCTAATAGAGTGAGACAATATGTCAGTATTGCCTACCAATTTAATTTGAAGAGGTATGTTTTGTACAGGACTACTGCAGCATAAGTAGAATCTATGTATATAAATGTATGTTTGTAATGTTACAAATTTAATATGCGTAGGAGTCATAGGATCATACATCATATTAAATTCCTTTAATTTATTTCAGGCCCAATAGCTTATTATTATGTAAACATATGTGTCAAATTAGTTTAGTAAATCATAAATTCTTTATAAAAGGTTATGTAATATTAATATAAGTATATCAGTATATGCATTTAATAAAAACAAATTTAGAATAAAAATAAAGAATATTAAACTATTTAAATAAAATCGACGAATAATCCTTTACACGCAAGTACTTCATTTTACATTAAATTTAGCATCTAATACTAAGATTCAAATTGTGTTTTTAGCTTATACAAGTTAAATTAAATCTATCATCTATGTATCTATAGTATATCATATTAAAACTAGTTATTTAATAAAAAGTATACAACATCTAATACATAGTCAAAATAATATCAGATATTATAAATAGTATACTATGACACTATCAAGAATATCTAATTTTAAATAATAATATTAATGATATTCATTATAAATGAATAAGAAATAAATAAATTATAATATACTAATAGGTATAATACATATAATAGGAATTTATATGTATGCAACTTTTATAAAAATGAAATGTTTAAAATATCAAGAACTAATAGATTTAAAAAATGATAATTCATGTTATATTGAAGACTTATTTGATATTATAAGTAATTACAATATAATATTTGGTTATTACTTAATGAAGTCACGATAATTTTTGATTTTCCCAAAATATAACCCTTTGCACAGATATACGTTTATAACTATATACAAATGTATAATACGGCATGCGAGATAGGTACATTCAATAAAATAATATAATAACATGTTTATTTTTATTTTTTTAGTCATTTTGTAATTTTAAGCAAATTACTCTAGTACATTACTATTGAAACTCGTTTCCATTTCTCTATTTCAATAGCTATAAATATAATAATTTTTATTGTAATTTGTAACTGATATTAATTTTTTTGAATCAACGTATCTTTAATAACTATATGAAATACCTTGGTACCTAAAATGTACACAACAATGGTTTTTACTTACGTTATTTGGGCGCTGATGAGACGTGACGCTATAATGCCCGTTTTGATAGTTGGGAGCCAAATACACATGTGCGATAGTCACATACTAATGTAAGTAGGTGTATACGATTAGCTAATTATTAAAACACTTTTAAATGTTTGTCGATGGATATCGATAAAATTTCTACCAATTTCCTATTTTTATTTGTTGATTTCTTACGGCAACGCTTATAGAAGTAGGTACTTATACTGTGTGGTATAGTCTATACGAATTAGAATAAAACATGCCAAAATGATACATCAATCGAGGTTATACCGTAATCATACACAATACACGAATAAATTATATAGTTGTAGCATAAAAATTGATTTTAGAATCGGATCGAAAAAATTCGGACGTTATCATTGTAGGTTTTGACACAACGTTACGTTTCAGACAACGAAACGGTACTGTGCTGTGTACGATGCCTTAGCGATGAGCTGTATAGTATAGTCACTACCCTTAAAAGCTATTATGCGCATGTCAGTATAACAATAATAATATGATGTAGATATACGGGGTGGTGAGGGCGATAGTCTACTCCGGGCAACTCATGTAGAAGAAAAGGAGAACCGATACATACATATTTATTAATAAAAATAAAATAACAGGGAATTTGTTTGGCTGTTATGATATGTTTTAAGTGTAACTATCAGTAATTAATGTGTTAAATTTGAATTAAATGATAATTCATTATTTACGAAAAAACGAATCTGAATGAAGAATATTAAAATATCACGGATTAGTATTTATTTCAAGTAAAATTTGTAAATAATATTATTATTAATACTTACTGAATAGTTAATTAAGATTAAATTAATTTTTGCCAAAAACATAACTTATAAGTTAATAGTTATGTACCGCAGAATAGGTGAATGAATATCTGAAAATTAATCTAAATATTTTTAAAATGCATTCTTAATGTAAAACTATAATAAACGTAATGAAAAAATGTCAAGTCTACGATTAATAATTTTTTGAATTCCAATAAATTAACTAAAATCTATAAAGGAAAATTAGTAAATTTTGTTAAAAAAATTAAATATTTTATCAAAATTTGAACTTATTGAAAATTTTTGAAAACAAAAATGATATATTTTTTAAATGCTGTAAGATTTTTGAGGAATGTTAAAACATATGTTGATGTTGTTAGATAAAAAAACAATCGATTTTCCCAAAAACTGGTATCGAGTAAATATTATTAAATTTGCGTTTTTTTTTTTTTTTTTTTTTTTATATTAGTTTTTTCTAATTAATAAAAAATAGTACTCAATAAGATGAAATTAATTTTAAAATACCACCATTAAAGTTGAAGATTTAATATTTAATTATCTACGGACAAATAATAAAAAGTAAATTAAAACACATTATTATTAAATCTTTACCCAGAATCCGAAATTAATAGTTAGCATTTTAATTTAGATAGTTGTGTTTATTTTGTATATGTTAAAGGAGAATACATAATTTCCACAGAAGGTTAATACTGTAGTGAGTATTGAGTAGTGAATATTAACAAGAATTTTGATGCAAGGAGTTGTAAATGTTTAATGAAATATTCTATATTATGATGTTCCGTTAATTCTTATTCAAATATATCTTCAATTACAGTAAAAAAGAACAAAAAAAATGTTATATCTCTCTGATTAGTATAAGCAGTGGTGGTGACAAGGAGCCAGGGGGTAGGGGTTATGGTATAAGCGCCCCCATTGTGTTAAGTAAATAGTTTTCCTTCTACTGAAGAAGTGTTTTAGAGGACATCACATATTCATATCATGTTAATAATTTATATAAGTATTCAAAACTTGTCTAAAAATTAAAATATTGTAAAAGCCCAAAGTACAAACACAGATATTTAGGTTAGATAATAACTAAATTTAAAACATTTAAGTCAACACAAACTTGTACAATATGGTTGAGCTAATAGAATATTTTCTACGTTAATTTTTATATATTTGTATGATAAAGATAAAAATTTGTGAATTAGAAGTCAGTCCTCCTATTTCCTAAAGGATAATTTTGTATTTTAAACTAAAAACTAAAATCACCTCTCCCTCTTAAATTACTTTTGAATCAGCTACTGAGAATATAATAAATTGTATGCATACTAAAGTATTTTAATGTAAAAATATATTACAAAGAGTTTTAAATTCAAAGTCGTTATTGTTGTTTAAGATAATTTTTATTCACTGGTTATAGTTTTTACTGAAGATATACACTGTCAACGATTTTTTTTTTGCTATAATAGATATAATCATATAAAAATGCTAAAAAAAACATACGTCAGAAATATTAAGAGTGTCTTTGCATAATAACTTTCTAGTAAAGACGTTTTAGTAAAGTGCTAATAATACACGTATTACTGGTTTTGATGAATTAAACTTGTCAATATATTCAAATATATTACAAAGTATTTCGATCCAACCATTCAAATGACCCCAACAATTTCTACTTGAAATAAAATCAACATAATATATATACCTCATCTTATAATACACACAATAATGTTCTACGAAAAAAAATCAAATGACATTGAAACACAAACAATTATTATAATATAGGCTTTATGACGTGTACGATGTTTAACAGTGGGTAACTGTGTAGGTACCTACCTGATTGCATCTGTGGAGGCAGTAATACTACTCGTTAACCTACAGCTAGTAACCACATCTACTGTAGATGGTTTCCAACCTGTTATCGAAGTAGCTGTAACATACAAAACAAAAATATTTATTTTTTTAATAATTATTGGAATAACATATTGCATAATAATAATTACTTGCATAGCAATTTATTTTTAATATATATATGGATGTACTATATTTACATATATACTCATTAAAAAAAGAATGAATAATGATAATTACTATTGTTAACATTTTGTATTTTATTTTTTTATTAAAATATCATATTATAAATATATATACATGTAATTCTATAGAAAAAAAAAATGAAGACATTAAATTATTATATGATAAATGTGGATAGGATAAAGTAGGAGGTCTAACTTCACGTTTATAATAATAGGTATATGTACTTATGATCAATATTGTGCTTGTAGGTATATTTTATATAGGACAATTTTCGTTTTTATCAATACATATATTCAATTAGCCATATAATAAAAAACATGATTAGAAAACACACAATGTTTCTGTAATTGTTTTACGATGGGTAGCCGCCGACTGATAGTGTACCTATATGTCCTATATATTTATACAACATATCTAATACCGTAATATGACTGTATTTAATATTTAAATATGTTAATTAAATGTTAGAGTTAAATAATAATTGATAAGCATTATGCAAATAGCACAGCATATATGAGATTATAGATACGTCTGAATGATTGACACTCAGAACGCCACCACAAAATATGCATATTATATTATGTGTGCAATATATCATGGAAGATAATTTGCGTCAATAATGTATTATTATTAATAAAATAAATTAATAAAACACGAATATATTTGTGTTCACGCTGATCCATTCAAAAATAATAAAAACTAATAACATTATAAATTATAATATATTGAGGCCCACTACCAATGACCTGTTGTACCTATGTACCTACGTAATAGCCGTATTTGTATGCAATGTGTTCATGTACTATAAGCAGACTATGCAGTATACACGTCACGCATTTCGGAGCCCTTGGGGCAATGTGTTTTTAGGCTAGGTCTCGAGTATAAGTAGTATATTATATTAAAGTCTAAATAGCATAGTTTTATCGTAAAAAAATATACGCAAACACTTAAAATAATTATTACTTTTGATTTAAAACACAATCCTCCATATTATATTATATTCGGGTTAATGTAATTTGAACCAGGTACATGCATAATAGGTATTATAATATTTATAATAACTATAAATAAACTTTCCATAGCGGACTACTACTGGATATTATGTTTTAATGTGTACAATTTTGTCCATGCGAATAACGATAATTATGTTTATATGTATATATAAAAATAATTTTTTTTAAATGTAATGACTAAAAATAATAATTTTATTTCAATATAGGTTAACAGGGGATCAGCAATAGTAATTCTGTACGTATGTATTCGCAACTATTATGATTGAGGTAGAATAGATAATTTTATTTTAATATTCATAACAAAGTCTTAAAAAAAAAATTATAAATATAATAATAACCGTAACGAACAAAATGTATAATAAATAAAAATACATATTATTACTTCAATTACATTGTATGCGTCATTATGACGTTATCTTAGTTTGTTCGTCATGTTATTATCAATAAAATAAACAATGATAAACAATTATTTTAAGGTCATTTGATATTATATATATATTAAATTTAGTTATGAATTTTGACAATGAAAATAATTCTTCTCGTTTAGCTTTTTATATAAATGTAGATTTATGATTCATATTTAATTAATAAATAAAAATGTATCTAAGAATTTAAAAAATCATATTGATAAAATAGGTATGAGTAATTAAATAAAAAATGTTGGGAAAATTATTAAAGTAAACAATAAAAATAGGTATATTTAACGATGTAGTTATCCAAAGTTTATCGATAATATATTAGATATTATTATATTAATAAACCTTGATAATTGATAGTTACCTATCGGTGTATTATATATGTTATGTACTTATATGCGAGTATGACGTGATAAATGTACTTACCTAATATTATTCATTTGTTGTAAAATAAAATAAAATAATTTATGATAATTTAATATTATATTTTATTAATTAGGTATACCTATAAGTATATAACATATTTTACGTTTAATAGTTTTAATCAAGTACACGAGTAAATTTTGTAACTATAATAAATGTAAAACTACACTAAATATTTAAAATACTATTAACTATAGCTTAGCCTATTGGCTATAGGTACTTTATAATAAATATATAAATATAAATAGTATTATAATTTAAAGACTTATAAGTTATAACTAAAGTATAATATTCATATTTTTTCATTTTTGTAGACTATAAGATTTTTAAATTTTATTTTGTGAATACTTATGTCTTATACCTATATTTTAATAGAATAATATTCATAATTTTAAATTCAAAATACTATTTAAGCATTTAAGCACACAGCTAGAATACTAGATATGTCTAGTGATTCGTATAGTTATACTCAACAATATGTCATAAATGTAATTCGAAAATTTATACAATGCTGAAACGTTGAAATCAACGGACTCTGCAATTGACGTCTGCATGATAGAGAAAATTGATTTTATAATTTAAGTAGCACTGAAATTTGTTTTCCGAGACGAACACTCGAGTATGTAGTAATATAATATAGTATAGGTAGTATAATATAAAATAATATGTACTTACTAATATATATTATGTATATTTAGACACTTATATAGTTTACTATACATTAGATACCTAGATAATATTATTTATGTGTATGTATATAT